TTTCTGAATTATAGTTAGCTCGACAAATTCAATCAGTACCGTACTGTATTTTGAATTGGACATAATATTATGAATTTCTTCTATCATTTCTTCCAATTAATTATTAAATTAAATATTACTTGATGCTTAGTTATTGAAGAATAGTTTAATAAGAACAATTCAACATGAAATGCATTGTACCAGGAGCAAATGTAAAAAGTAAGTTAATTTTATTTAGGTTATATTTTATGTTTCCAATGTAAACAATGTATATTTGTTAAAAAAAAGCATTTTTACATATGAAATGTATATTAGTTTTAGCAAAAGCTGTACATACATTAGCAAAAATTGGAAATGAAATGTTCATAGAACCACAAAAAAATGCTATATCATTTCGAACTGTTAATATGGCAAATTCAGCATATGCTGATTTTACGTTGTTTGAAAATTATTTTTCATATTACGTTTATGATGACCTACAGGAAAATGATGCATTGAAATGTAAAATTTCAATGAGGGTAATAAGAAATTATCATACTTTAATATAATGTTACAAATATTTTGACATTCATATTTTACAGAGTGCAATGACTGTATTTAAGGCTCCAAATTTAATAGACAAACAGGTGGAAACATGTCATATTCGATTAGAACCAAATGCATCTGACATTTTGTTTATTTTAAAGTACAAAAACAGTATTATTAAAACTCATTTATTACCCATTTTGGACTGTGAAATATTACAGGTATCTGTTACGTGTCTTTAATATGTTCTGTACTTTTATTTTGAATTATTATTTATACTACTCCTATATTTTTTAGACTGCATATGATAAAGAATGTGCATCAAATAAACTTTCATGTCAGTCACGACTGTTGGGAGATGCAGTACAAAATTTTCATCAAAATTTAATTGAAATAACACTTGAAGTGTCAGAACAAAAACTTTTATTAAGAAATTATCTCGATGAGACTTCAGGTAAATTGCAAGAATGAAATAAAATGTAATTTTTGTTTTTCATAAAATAAAGTTAAAAAATTTGCTAGGTTTATCGAATACAACACGTACGCTACTTGCACTTGGCAAGGGAGAATTCGATCGGTATAATATTGGTAGTGAAACATCAATTACTTTTTGTATGAAAGAATTCAGATCCATTTTAAATTTTGCAGAAAGTATAGGTACTTTACTTAACATACACTTTGAAGATGCAGGAAGGTAAAAACTAATAATTTAAATCTAAATTCTTTTTAAGGTACATATAAATTATTTACTAATATTTTTTAGACCGGTTATATTTGCAATAAAAAATCCATCTTTTGAAGTAAATTTAGTATTATCCACATTAAGTTCTGATGCAGATAGCCAAACAGATACAACGTTAATTAGTAATCATGAAAAATCTGTAAGAAGAAGAACAGGGAACAAGCGAGTTTCTAGGAAAACCAATAATAAATCTACAAGTAGAATACAGAATAAGTCAACAAAACTCAATACAAGAGGAAATGCTACTACTAAAAATATACATTTAGGTTCCATGGAGGAAAAAAAAGTGGAAAATCAAAATACTTCTAAAAAACAAGCTAATTCTTCAGTAAATATATTTAATACATCAACAAAAGATAATGAAAATATACATAAAGCAACTTATTCGTCAGAAAAACGTAATACTCAACAAGAATTTCAGAAGTGTTCTTTGTCTAATTGCGACACGATTGTAAAATCTAATAAAACATCTATAGAAAAAAAAAGATTAGTCAATTCTATATTTTCTACAATAACAAAAAGGAAATCTAGTAATG